ACATTAGCAAGCAAAAAAATGAAATATTTAGGAATTACTCTTACGAAAGAAGTGAAAGACTTATACAGTGAAAACTATAATACACTGAAAAAGGAAATTGAAGATGATCTCAGAAAATGGAAAGACATCCCTTGCTCATGGATAGGAAGAACAAACATTGTGAAGATGGCCATTCTCCCAAAACTGTTATACAGATTCAATGCAATCCCAATAGAAATACCATCAACATACCTTATAGATCTAGAGAAATCACTCCTAAATTTCATCTGGAACCAGAAGAGACCTAGAATCGCAAAGGCAATTCTAAGCAGCAAAGGCAAAGCAGGAGGCATCACAATCCCTGACTTGAAATTATACTACAAAGCAACAGTAGTAAAATCAACATGGTATTGGAATCAAAACAGAGGCGAAGATCAATGGAATAGATTAGAAGATACAACCAAAACTACAAACACACTCAACCACCTTATCTTTGATAAAGGAGCCAAGCAGGTTCACTGGAAGAACGACAGTCTCTTTAATAAATGGTGCTGGAAAAACTGGCTCTCCATTTGCCGAAAACTAAAGCTAGACCCATGTCTATCACCATGTACTAAATTAAAATCTAAATGGGTCAAAGATCTGAATATTAAAACAGAAACACTAAATCTACTGGAAGACAAAGTGGGTAGAAACCTTGGAGACATAGGAGTAGGTAGAGAATTCATGAACAGGACTCAAATTGCAGGGGAAATACTTCCCAGAATCAATAACTGGGACCACTTCTTATTAAAAAGTTTCTGCATGTCAAAAGAAATCTCCAGCATAGTGAAAAGAAAACCCACAAACTGGGAAAAGATTTTAGTGAACTCTCTCTCAGACAAGGGACTCTTGTGTAAAACATATAAAGAATTAAAGAAACTCAGACCTCCAAAATTCAAAGATCCAATCCAAAAATGGGCATCTGAGATGAATACGCAATTCTCAGATGAAGAAATGCAAATGGCAAATAAATATATGAAAACATGCTCATCATCATTGGTCATTAGAGAAATGCAAATTAAAACCACACTGAGATACCATCTCACTCCTGAAAGAATGGCCAGGATCAAGAAAACCAACAACAACAAATGCTGGAGAGGCTGTGGGGAAAAAGGAACTCTCCTGCACTGTTGGTGGGAGTGTAGACTGGTACAGCCTTTGTGGAGGTCTGTCTGGAGGTTTCTCAAAAAGTTGGGCCTGGAAATCCTATTTATTCTAGCTATTCCACTTCTAGGCATATTCCCAGAAGAACTGAAAGCATCATACCACAGTGATATATGTGCACCTATGTTTATAGCAGCACAATTTGTAATCACCAGATCTTGGAAACAACCCAAGTGTCCATCAACTGAGGAATGGATAAAAAAGTTGTGGTATTTCTATACAATGGAGTATTATTCAGCTATAAAGAAGGATCACATTGAGATATTTATCAATAAATGGGCGCAGCTTGAGACCATACTCATAAGTGAAATAAATCAATCTCGCATGTATGAATACCGAATAGTTTCCCTAATGTAAGTAATGATTCAAATATATGAAAATATGTGGCAATCATGATTCCCCATTATGTGGCCTTGAAGCCTTATAAAATTTTCACTTATTAATTAGAAAGGCTTTATTCTGGGCTTCTTGATATGGAAATATTTGAAGCTATAGTATATGAAGTTTTATCCAAATATCTCAAGGAAAAAGACAGACACTATGGTAACTATTATTCTTTAAAAAAATTATTTAGTTATTTCTTATGTTTATTTTAATTAAGGGAAAAATTAAAAAAATTAGGATATATAATAGTAACTCTTTTCGATTTCCTATTAACTTGTTTTGAAGTCCTGTAATACTCCCACGATCTTGTTTTGACTGATTAGACTCTGTTCCATTCTGTGGGATAGTAACAAGTCTGAGGGTATAGGCAACTACTTTGAAGGCAATAAGATTCACTAAGATGCCCATTCAGGTTTGACTATTGTCTCCTTTGGAAGTCCTGTAATGTTTACAGTGCCTAAGTTTTATTGGTCTTGTTCTCTACTGTTTTGTCCAACTTTATAATATCTAATGAGATAGACAAATCTTTTTAAGGAAACAAGAGACAACGTTGATAACTATTGTTAATAACTGTGTACTCTGTTCTACATCATGTGCTAAGTCTATCCTTGGTTTTGACTGACAGCTTTGTTCTGCCATATTTGACTTTATTCTCCCCCCCCAAAAGTAACAAGAACTAAGGAGTAATAAAATCTAAAATGTGTAAATTTTGTTTTAAAAAGAGAGGAAGGGAAAAAAAAAGAGCTCTAACGGATATAACAGCAAGTGTGTATAGGGGTGTTGAATAGCTGACTATATTAATGTTTTTGGATCATTGAACACAGCTGTTTGAATGTCTACTTTGTATTCTTTGATACTGTGATTTGAGCAACTATTTCCAAGATGATAATATGTAATCTATTAACAGGTGATTTCTTAGTGTTATGTTTTTTTTTGTAGTTCTGTATTATATGTAACCTTACACTGCTTTGTTTTGTTTTGTGTTTTTCTCTTTTTCCTCTTAAATAAAAAAAAAAAGAATGCCAGAACTAACACTAGGCTTGGAAACCAGTTTAGTCCAGCCCTTAACTACAAAGAAAAGGAAACCCAGCTCGGAGTCAATGTGATTCAACCAGATGTTGGCACAATTTGGATTCAGTCCAGGTCCCCTCATAACTGAGCTGGTCCTTTTTATATTTAACAAACTGTCTGGTACATGTTTATCCAATTCTCTGTATATATGCCAGGATAATTTTTCACCTCAGTTCTATATTTTTGTACCCTGAATATTCATTTCTTAAATCTCAGGAGTTTAATGAGAGCAAGAAGTGAATGCAAAAAGTAATATGTTATGGGGTGACATGGATTATAACAAATACAAAATAGAAGAAAACATACACACAAAATAAGACCTCAGAGTGTACACAGCATTATGACACTCATCAGACTGTAACTGCAATCAGACAAGACAAAGCATTATAAATCCTGGGGCTATAAAGGAGCAAGAAGGCAAAATAGTGAAATAGTGCTGCCATCCCAAGCAACATTCGTCACCTGTAATCACACAGCCTCATCATCTTCAGAGTATGTTGTGAGCAGAACAGGTTTTATTCTGAAGCTGTAACCTTTGCTGATCTCTCCCTACATTCTTGACATGTGAAACTGACACCTAGTAATTAAATCTCACAAGGCCCACGTATCTTTACTTCATGAAAAACTATTATAATACATTTGCATTTTTAAAAATGAAAATGAAAAAAAATAATCTTTGGTGAAAAGTAGGCAGGGAGAAAGAGAAAACTGACTCCATTTGTCCCAACAATAATGGGAGAATCTAATTCAAGTTCACATGGCTGAGAACAGAACTGTGCTCTTACAAGGGATAATACACAGAAGATGCTATGAAATTGGTCTGTTGGAAGGAACTTAGGAAAATCAGCAACTCCAGAAGAAGACTAGGCCCCATTCAGAAAGTATTTCAGCATGAATCTTGTGAACAGTCTTTGTAGGAGCAAGTCTGAATCTACCTAAAACATCTACTACAGTTGAGATCAAGAAAACCTCAAGATATTCACTAAGCTTCTTGTTCCTCCTTGTTTTGTGGGCTGCCATTTACACAAGTTTAAAATTTTCTCTAATTTCAGCAGGTGGTCTTTTAGGTCTCAGCTGAATTTTCATGTCAATGTCCAGATAGAAGCTGAAAAGGTAAAGCTGTTACCTCTTATCCATGCAGACCTTGGCAGGCTATGTGATGTCTCCATGACTTTGCATTGTAATTGCCTTGACTGTTCTGTCTCCAGTTTATAACTATCCTCGTTGCTTTCAATGTGCTTTTCTGTCAATTAAATTCATGCAGTATGACTGCGGCCTTCTCCGGATTCTATGAGGCTCAGCTGTTATAACCAGATGAATGAAGTCTGGTCTTGCCTTCCAGAATTTTATCGTGGAAAAGAGCACACATCTGGGAGTGAAACAACCTTGCTTCAATCCTGCCTCTGCCACTCATAATGTTAGATTGAGGCAAGAAGCTCAAACTTCCTGAGCTTCAGAGTTTTCTATCTATAGGGATATTTGTCCTGCAGTATAAAGCCTAGGAGCCTTTTAAAATGCACTACTCCAGATTGTCATGACCCATGAGGCTCCTGAGTTTCTTGAGGTGAAGGACCACAAAAGGATGAAGAAATGACAAAGCTGAGGTCAGGTAGAGCCCTTACTCTCCTGATGGGAGGAAAGGAACTGCTCAATTAATGCAGCATATTTATTTAATGGGAAGCATGAGGCCAATTGCCACTTCTCTGCTTGTAATCTTTTGCTTGGATTGTCTAGGTGCTTGGTGTTTTTTCTTGGGCTGTAGCAATTTCTTCATGTAGGTGACTTGGGTACTTTTTGTTTTTTGGTAGGATCATGTCTGGGTCATCCCCCAGGTCAATTTCCAGTTTCAACAGCTTCCAATGCCAGATTTGTGTAGTCAGAATTTCCTGAGGTGAGCCTGAACATCTGCATTTTTACAAAGCTTCGTTGGATGCATCTACTCTGAAACATCCCATGAAAAGAGTCAGTAGCTATTAGGCTATAGTAGGGAATCTGTAGATCTAAGGTGAATCTGTCTTAGTTACTCTTCTCATTGCTGAGACAAAACACCCAACACCCAAAGTTAAAGGAGGAAGTATTTATATCAGACCACAGTTTGTAGAGGTTTCAGTCTATAATTGGCTGGCTCCAAGACAGTGTGGCATGGCAGAGGGGCCTTGCAGAGGACAAACACTCCATGGAAAGCAGGTGAGAGACAGCAGTAGCTGATACAGTCTTTCCTTTTCATCCTTTCCAGGTGTAAGAAATCCTTAATGCCAGCATCATGCCCTTAATCCCAGTATCACGTGTCTTGGATCCAGCTCGTCCAAAGAGCTCCAGCTATGAAGACACGAGCCTTTGGGAGAACATCTAGATGCAAGCCACAACAGTGTTCTAAAAGTATTCTAAATTTTCATTTTACTCTTTTTCTTGGTTTAAATATCTATCTCCCTTGTATGCATGACATAATGTCTTCTGCATTCTTTAAATATTGAGTTCAAGTATTTTATTCCACTGAAATGATATTGCAAAGCTTGATATTCTTTCTTTTGTGAAATAATGCTACAAGATATTTTGTTGTTATGGCCAACATCTAAATTATGCTAGTATGCAAATCAGCCAATCTAATGAAATGAGTATAGTTATTTATCTACTATGAACAAAACACTAAGATTCAAAGAGGTTAAGCAATTCAGTGAGTGCTGAATTTAGAATTTATACCCCTTTGCCGTCTTAGCTACTTTCCTCACTGCTGGGACAAAATAGTCAACACCCAAAAGCTAGGAAAGCTTGGGTTGGTCATTTCTCCTTTTTTTCATTTTGAAGAGAATAAAACCAAATGAAAAAAAAAACCAAAAAACAAAATGGGGTCAGTCAAAACAAAAGGATGGACATAGTACATGACTTAAAACCAAAATACAAGGTGATCTACAATTATTATAATGATGTCTCTTGTTATCTTCAATAGAATTGCCCATATAATCGGGTATAATAAAATTGAACATAGCAATACAGAACAAAATCAATAAAAACAGAACATTGGAGACATTATGAGACTTCAAAAGAAGATAACAGTCAAAATAGAATGGGTATCATAGTGAATCTTATTGTCTTCAGAATAGTTGTCTATACCCTCAGACTTGATACTGTCAAACATAACAGATTTGAATAAAATCAGTCAAGACAAGACAGCAATCAAACAAAACATTCAAATAAAATCAGTCATAACAAAACAACGAAAGCAATACAGGGCTTCAAATTATGTTAATACAAAAACAAAAATGGTTACAGTAGTATATCCTGCTATCTTTGGAATAGCTGTCCATGCCATCAAATCTAGTACAAGTAGACAAAGTGGAACAGGATATAACCAAATTGAACAGAGAGATGAAAACAATATGGGTTTCAAATCATGACACAAGATTAACAATGTCCTCTGCCTTCCCTATTTAGACAGTTCCTCACCTTTCACTTTCTCAGGGTACATTGTACATTTTGTATCCCACTAGCTCCTTTAGTTTTAGATTAGGGAGGCAACTCGCTATTTACCTAAGTGGTTCTGAACCTTTTTAACCTAAGTGGTTCAGAACCTTTTTACCCCTGAGCTTGATCTCAAGTTGCATCCATTTACCTACAAGAGCCTCAAGGTTTTCCTTCCTTATAACTGAGTAGTTCTCCATTGTATAAAAGTGTTATGTCTTTCCAACCAATCTGCAGCTGAAGGGTGAGCTACCTCCACTTTTTTCTGGTTCCCTGTCACATAGAACATTATTTTCTCATCTTTGACTTTCAGTTCATAAGCCCTCTTTCAGGTTAATTATATTTCTTATATAGAGCATCTTGATGGACCCTATCTTCTGATCCACTCGTCTGTGTTTCTTTTTGTTAGTGTATCAAGGCCAGATGTGTTAGCAATTATGGCCAACCTTCTCTGCCTCATCTCTGCCATGCTATTTTCCTGCCGTTGATTGTTTACTTTTCTCCTTCATTCCAATGTCTGCCCCATTCAGTGAGCCCCTGCTGCCACTATTCCTCAAACCATGGTCTTTTCTCTCTTTCTCTAGAATGTCTTTCAGTATTTTTTGTAGGGTTAGATTGGTGGTCATGAACTCTCCCAGCTCCTCTTTGTCATGGAAGCATCTTGTTTCTCCATTAATTTTGAGAGATAGTTTTCCAGGGTTCATCAATCTGGGTTGGAGGTTATTTTCTTTCAGGGCTTGGAATACTTCACTCCAAGGTCTTCTTGATTTGATGGTTTGTATCAAGAAGTCTGTTGTGATTTTGATGTGTTTTCCTTTGTAGGTGATCTGTTTATTTTTTCTAACAGCTTTTAATATTCTGCTCTTGTGCTGAATTTCTGGGATCTTGATTATTATATGTCTGGGTGTTGATCTATTTTGGTTATAGGTGGCCGGAGTTTTGTGTCTCATATATCTGAATATCATTTCCTTTTCCTATGCTTGAGAAGTTTTCTTTAATTATTTCTGTAAGTAGCCTTTGTATTTCATTTGTGTTTACTCCTGCTTCTTTACTCACTTTTTTAATTCTTAAGTTATAGATTCTCTTGTCATCTTCTAGCATTTGTATTGTTACTTCCTGGTTCCTTGTTATTTTTGAGATCTTTGCTTTCGTGATCACCAGTTGCAAACTTCTCTTCAAGGTTTGATAACCTAACTTTAGTTTCTTTCAAACAGTTTTGCCAGCTTTCAATGGAATTTTTAATTTCTTGGTAATCTCTTTGAATGTGTTTTGTGTATCCTAATTTTTTAAATATTCTTCATTGACAGTTTCCCCCTTTTGCTATGCTCCTCTATTCTTCCATTTGTGTCTTCTTGAGAGACACATACCATTTTAAAAATTATTTTTCTTATATCTTCTCTTACTTGTATTAGTATTTCTGTTTTAAGTTCTTTTATCATTTCACGAAGATACTTGTTTATGTCAGATACTGTTGCCTCTGAAACTGCAGATTTACAACTTCCGATGTCTTCTGTGTTTACCTCTCCTGGGCTAGTACTGCCTGGCTTGGAGGCTGGAGACTGCCTTTTGTTTCCTCTTCTTGTCATGTTTCTGGTTTCTTCCAGACTAGTGGATAGTGGGGTCCCCAGCACTTCTTATATGGGTTATAATTTTTCTGAAGTGTGCTGGCTAGGGATTGCTGCCCTCCCCAATCTGCTGGTGACTACCTGGAGTACAGTGGCAGGTTGGCCCCTCCCTTCTGAGCTGATCAACCACTGGGAGTCTTTACCACTCCCAGTGTGTGCTGCATGGTTGGGGCCAGTTAGGGATAGATTTAAGGAAACCTCGGCCTTGACTGTTGGATCATGCACAGGGGCACGACTCAGTCCAAGCAATTCTCACCAATCTGCTCTGTGTTAGGAGTGGCTAAATGAGGCTGGCTGCAGTTCTCGTTCTGGTTTTATCCTGCCTGACTCCAAAATGACACCTAGCCAATCACCCACTCCCATGGGGAGGACTGAGTCCCCCACACTCACTGCGAGTCAGTGCAGTTCTCTGGTCTGCCACTCCCCTCCATGACCACCATCTTCCTGCCGAGGCCAGGCACCCAGATTCAACTGGCAAGCGTGAAGTCCTGAATTCAATTCCTAGTATCCACCCCAGTTTTGGAGGTTTCAATCTGTACTCAGTTGGCTTCAAGGCAGAGTGGCATAGCAGGACCACCTTTCATGGTAGCCGCAAATAGCAAGACAAAAATCAGTAAGAGCACTTCTCCTTTTTGAGTCTGAGCTTTCTTTGTGCTTCTGAAAGTTTTATCTATAAAATAAAATAAAATAAGTGGTTGTCTATCAAGGTAGACCCTCCCTCATCCCAGTGGTAGACCCCAAGAAGCCTGAAGCCAACCAAGTTTTTACAGAAATAGTACAACAAATCACTCCCTTGAAAACTATAAATTATGCCTTATTTTTCCTGAGGAGTTTAATGTAATCTTTGTTTTCTTAGCAGACTTAGCCCTGGGGCCTGAGCAGCACTTGGCTGTGGACATCATGTAACATCTGCTACATTTCCTGTCACCTTTCACAGGTTGGATGGCCATCAAAACAGAAGTTGGATGTATGTCCTAGGGGAAGAACTAGCCTTGCTCGGGGAGGTGACAGAGTGGGATGGAGGTAAAATATGAAAATCAGGTACGTTTCTGCCCAGTCTGCATTCCTAAGTGACTATTATTATAGTCTCTGAGTATTAGACATATTCTTATAATTTTACTACCTGTACTATAATGTAAAAAAGAAATATTTGTGATTTTATCTTGTATCCACAAACTACTTAAGAAAGGTGTTAGCTTTAAAGAAATGTGCAACAAAGCAACAATAACAATGAAAATATCAAACGCTTCTCTACTCTATTGCCAGTGGCTATTTTTAAAGAATGTTCAGTACTCACAGCACTGTGTGAGGTAGGAAATGTGATTATACCTATTTTATATGTGAAAACTGAGTCACAGAGATGTTCAAGATTTTGGTAAGGCCAGCAAAGCAATATGCGGTGGGTCTAGGTCTCAACATGGGTAGACTGGCTACAGATCTGTGCTGTTAACTAATAGGGCAAGCTGACAAAAATGAGAGAAGGGGAAAACCGGAGAACTGCAGAGAGTCAGCTGGAAAAGAAGTGTTCCCAAAGCACTAAAAACATACATCGATTTTGAAAAGGAAGGATTTTTGCAAAAGGAATTTTGCAAAGAAAAATTGATTCTCAGTAGTTCAGGGATGGAATGAACATACTGGATGATGTCTCATTTGTGTTGTGATTAGATTGAGACCTGCCTGACATTCGGCAATAAGTTTATGGATAGTTGATAAATATGTTGTTTCATCTATTTAAGGCAACTCTCTAATTCTGCTTTACCATAATCTTATTGGTTCCCTTTGTGCCTAGTGTGCTGTATAGGTCCAGTGGTGAGGTATAATGCCAGTCTCTTCCATTAAATTTCAGGATCTTGTATGTTTTTTAAAAGCGTTTAAATATAATTACACTGATATATATATATATATATATATATATATATATATATAATATTAAGCAAATTTACTGTTTTAACACCTTCTGTTATGTAATTCTCCTTTAATAAGTTTCATTAAAATGGACAGAGTATTAAGCCTCTTCCGATGAATAAATTCTGTAATTTGATTATCCTGGAGTTACAATGCCTTGGTACAAAGAATGAGTTGCTTCAAATGCATTATGGGGTAGAAAAAGCTGTAATTTACCTTTTCCTTTCTCTTTCTTCATCTTTTTCTTAGTGATAGTGAGGAAAGTATAAGGATTCCTCCAGTCCTCAGTGAGGTAACCAATACCTTGTGGAGCCTGGTTGTTTCTCGGATGCAGGAAATGTGCTAGACCAAACCACTGATTCAGGTTCCACCGCTGTTTCTCTGCTTTTGGCTCCAGAGTTCCAACATTCTTGGCTACTTCTCAAGGATTGAAGTGGGTGCAGACTGCAGGTTTTGGAGTCACAGGGACCTAGATTTAAGTTTCACCTCTATTGCTTATTTGCTCTGGGGGTTTTGGCTCAACACTTCCATTCTGTGTGACTCATCTGCCAACTACCAGGAAAAATGTTCCTTCAGGGGCCATGGCAAGGACTCTGCCAGGGTATGAGGTGGGTATTGAACACAGCCCCTCCATTTACCTCTCCAGTTTCCACAATGATGTGAACATAGGTGCGGGTAGGAACTCTTAATCCAATGCCTAAAAGAATATACTGTTTATTTTTCAAATGAGAGAAAAAGGAAATAAAAACTAATTTATGGTGCTCTCAGAACCCAGAACACAGCTCTGTACTCAGCACAACAAAGCCATAAAGTGACACAACTGTGCTGCCCTCTGTCTTCAGAAGGAAGAATTGCTCTGAGTGCTGGATCTAAAAGAGGAAAGTACAAACCAGGAGGCAGAAACTAAACAAGAGATAAGAAATTTCTTGTCTTACTGGGAAGTCAGCTAAATGTGGCGGATCTCACTGAACACTGAACTTTTACCTTAGAGCAGGAAAATGGTTTTGGATATCAGCGCATGGAAGCAGATGTTTTAAGAACTTATCCAGCAGGAAAAGCCCTGGGCGCAGTGGACCCTTAAGTTGGATAAGGACATTGACCCTGACTCTATGGCCTCAAAGTGGAGGTGGTACTCACAGACAGCAGTGGGCAGGTAAGAGAGGATTTGTTCAGCACTAAGCCTTCCTGAGAAGAGGCTCAGTTTAGCACTGATTTGTCCCTTTCAGAGTTTGCTAGAAGAAAGTCACCAGGCCTCTGGCTTTTTGCTGTCAGAGAGCTTTTAAGGGTCTAATTGATAAACTGTAAGTTTCCATCTAGCTTGTATGCAGAAAATTTATTCTTTTATTTCCCTAAATGTTTCAGGAAAGTTTTGAAGAATGCATCTTCCTTTTCTCTTCCATGTCATTTGGTGCAGATGACCATAAAATCCTCTTTAAATTCCCTCCTAAAACCTGATGAGCCTCCCCTGGCTGTAGCCCCTCTCCTGCCTTTGGCCCAGCTAAGTCTGAGATCTGGTCCTTCTAACAAACTAAGGATTGATCAAGATGGAGTAGTCCTTTATCGAAAACCTTAGGATAATAGACGTGAATGTTGGTACAAAAACTCAGTCTGAAACCTATTTCCTAGTGTCCTGTAGTTCCTTACTGACCATTCCCTTTCTAGCCCACAGGAGTTCTCCAGTTGCAGGAACCAGCTCCCTGTCTTGTCCAAGGGTGAGAGTGGCTGTGTGGACAATCAGCTCCCCTCTGTGTAAATGATACCCAGCATCCTCCTTCCCCTTTCACTCTCACCTACTATGTGGCTACTTGCCTGCTCAGCCTGCCTCAGCCTTGTGCTGCTCCAGTCCTTGTGGACTGTTAGCCATACCTTGCATGTTCAGCTTTGAGCCCTTAGCATGGGCACCCTCTTCTCACCTGAAAACCTGTTCTTAATGTCACAGGGTTCCAACATGGGCAGATCCTGATGTCAGAGGAACCAGCCATGCTGGTCTTTAAACAAAGGTTTCTGATGAGACATGTAGACAGTCCATATAGCAGACAGGTGGATTTTATAGCAAAATGGTAGATTTTCAGCATGGGTGAGAGAAGACACCTTCAGGTCGGTTGCGCTGAGTGACATTTCCGGTTACATTTATATGATTAATTGGGTCTTTCAGTCATCACTGCCATAGGTGGATATTTTCCACTTAGTTTGTTTTGAGACTTTGAGCAGTTTCCTGCTCTTCATCCATGGCTTGGATTTTGTATGGGCCCGGAACCTCTGAGGTTGCCTTGGAGGTTTGTATACATGCAAGGCGCACAAAGATACATAATAGCAAAACCATCCAAATCCTTGCCATCTCCCCTCAGCATTCTTTAACTCTGATTGACAGCTTGGTGAAGATGGACCCAGGCATCCATTATCCACTCTTGAGTTGGGAATTTTTGTTGTCTTCTTACTTTGCTATATTTGTAGTCCCATTGCTGAAAACTAAGTCTGCCTTCTTCTCTTATGTTGATTACATGATGATCAATAAATTGAGCCATTTTACTATGACAATCTGTTCTTTGACATTAAGCGAAATTAAGTTGGTAGAATAAGCACTGGTTTCCAAGAGATCTTCCACAAATTGTGTAAAACATGACCAAGGCCATAATAATAAATGTGTGTTGAATCATGAAATGGTCTTCCTTCATTCATTTACTCACACACTTGCTTATTGGTATCAATATATATTGATCAAATTTTAGTTCTGACAAGTATTATCAGCAAGTTACTATGGTAGACTATGGTGCTACTTCTGTTCCCTCAAAATGTTCATGTCCTAGTCCCTCAGACCTGATAATGTGTTACTTTACTTGGCCCAGTAGACTTCACAGGTGTGATTAATTTAAGCTCCTCAGGTGAAGCACTATTTTGCTTTAACCAGGTGAGTGTTAATAACAGTCCAATTGTGGCCAGGCTTTTTAGTGTTCCCAGTAGCTTATGTACTACAGACTTGGTTTCCAGTTGATAATGCTGTTGGAAGGTGGCAGAAACTTTAGGAGGTACAGTCTTGTTAGACAAAGTAGATCACAGTGGGCATTACTATGAATAATATATTTGTACTTTGCCCCTGCCTGTCTGTCTGCCATGCTTCCTGATGTAACATAGTGGCCAGGAAGCAGAGAGAGAAGAGATGAGCTGGGGAGTGAAATCCATCCTTTCAGGTCATTTCCCCAGTAACCACCCTCTTTTGACCAGGTTCCACCTCCTGAAACCAACTCAACTCAGCTCAACTTAGCTCAGCTCAGTAGGGGTCCCATCATCCAATCACCTTCTAGAAGCCCTACCTACCAGCATATGGCTATTGGAGGACCTCTAGATGTAACCTGATGGATGAGTGATGGGTAAGCAATCAAGCAGAATAGAGACCTAGAATGTAAGTGCAGTATGGAAAAATGAAGGCCCAAATTCATGCGGAACAATTTTAGAGAGAGTCCAAAGCTGTAGGCTGTCATCACTTCTAAAGGTGGATCCTAAGAAGAAAGAAGCAGGAACATTGGTTAAAAGACTTTATATGAAGACCATTATTAACAGGGGGACTCAGAGTTCAGTGAATCCTTTACAGAAGAAAACCTTCAGCCACCAAAGAGATAGTGAAAATCTACACACTGAATAATGAGATTCAAAAACAAAACAACAACCAATACACAGAGAAGATTTAAGGATCAGAGTAAGAAAAAATAAAACTAGAACTATTACCTATCTTAGAGAAAAAAAAGAAAATAAGATATTTATAAAACATGTGGACACAAACCTCAGTTACTCTTGGGTGAAACAGTTAATATCAGAGAAAAATCCTTTGGAAATTTCTAGCTACAGGTCAGAGCCAATGGGCTTAGAGGCTTGGAGGATAATTATTTCTGTCCCAGGTAGAGTGATCTAAGTGACACTACAGTTCTCAGTGTGATTCATATTCTGTATCATTTACATCTAGTTGGTTGGTATGAAAAGTTAAGTACTTCTGGATAAGGATCTTTCAGGATTCTTTGCATGAAGAAAGAGCAAGAGGAAGGTTTAAGAGGGGAGCTAAGTCCCTAACATTGTGTCTGGCTTTGAGATGGCAGCTGGATACTCATGAGCTCCCTTTCCTCTAATCCACCCTGATCTTCCTTACTCTAGCATTTCTACTGGTTAAGGTGGTACTTAACTAATGAGGGTTCTAGACCCTCATCCTCGAAGAGTTTCAGTCTTTGGTTACAAGATTCTTCTCAAGGAGTGGCTTTTGCTCTTGCCAACCTGGGTCAAAATTGGTCAGGGAGGTACCAAGAGATATTGCAGTGAAGAATTTGTGAGACATATTGGTCAGTTTTTCATTGCTGTAACAAAGTTCATTTTGTTTGGCTCATGGTTTCAGAGAGTGCAGTCAATGGTCAGTTGGCACCAAGGTAGAAACATCATGGTGGAATGACACAATGGAGAGAACTGCTCAACCATGGCATTTGGAAATCAGAGATCAGGGGAAGAACCACAGTTGAGGGAACCAGGAACCAGATGCGATGTTTTTATATATTTTTTTAATAATATCATATCTTGATTTGTGTGTGTTGGGGAAGTTTCTTATTAGAGTAACTTTTAACCCACAGACGAATGAATCAAAGTTCATTTCAATAAGAAGTTCTGCTATCCACCACATCTATACAGTCCAGTAAGATATTTGAGGCCTATGGAAATGGCCGTTGGGTGAGTTGCTGGAACATTCACCAAACTGTTATGAGCCTGACCTGGCTGCAAGCCATGATTTATTTTAGGTACTCAGAGAATATTATCAATTCATATGCTAAATCAAAAAGTTCCCAAAGTGGTGTCTGGATATTCTTTCAAAGCATGCAATTACTTAAATAAATAGTCATGCATTCTTTTGTGGAAGAAGTGAGAGCTCCTGACTTGTTCCTGAGGATCTGGTCTGTCTTTTAGATAGTAAGTTATGAGCCTGAAATAGGGCTCATGTCTTGATTAAATAAGGAATCCTGATTGATTTTATTTTATTTTATTTTATTGAGACAGGGTCTTTCTATGCAGTTCAGGCTGGTCCTGAGCTCACTTTATAGCCCAGGCTGATCTCATACTTGCAACATTCCTCCTGATTCAGCCTCCCAAGTGTTGGGGGAATCCTGATGTTTACAGCTGCGTTAGCTGCTCTCAGTTGAGCATCCATTTTTCATTTCTTTGACTATATAAATTGAAAATGACCTTTTGAAAGCCTACCTACTTGCCCATACATGGAAAACAGGAAATATGTAAAATTCGCAGATTGGTGTGGAAGACCCAGTATTCAAGAAATGGGAAAGAAAATGGAGAAAAGGAAACTAGGAGAAGAATTCTTTAAAAATAGTTTCAAGAAGTGCTGCAGATGTAGGTCAGTCACAGTCACAGAGTGCTTGCTTAGTATATGTGAATGCTTAGATTCAATCTTTGGTACCACAAAAATGAAACAAAACATAGATTAAAACAACAAAACAAAAATATTTTCTCCCTAGGACAGGGGGTCTTCTTTTCTAGGGGAAAAGCTTCAGCTAGGGGTACCTATACGATGAATGGGCAGTCATGCTAAGGCTCATTATTACAAAATTTCTGATACTGGATGTAAAGAAGAGACATTGCTTATTTCATTCATTAAGGTGTAACATTTCCAGATTCTTGTAGTGACTTTCTCTTCCAATTACTTTCCCCATGTGTTTTTCTCTTTGCTTTTCTATTAGCAAAGATATTTGAAGGCTCTCTGTTCAAATGAGGGATACTAAAAAGATGACTGGAACACCGGAAGCTGAAAGAAAATGAAGCAGAGCTATCTCTCAAAGTTTAAAAGGAAAATTATTTTCAGCATAGAAGTTTATGCCCGGATGAAACTTAACTATATGTAGACATAGGATAATTATCACTTTCAGACACTCAGAAAGCATTTTCCACACGTACCCATTTTTCGGGAAGCTACTAGATGATATGCTTCAAAAATATGAGAGAGTAAACCATGCACACTGAGTGTACAGAGTCCATGTGTAGGAAGAGATGAAGGGAGTTCGCAGAATATTGGAGGAGTGAGCTTCCAGAACATGGTTGTGTAGCCACCCGAGAGAAAACCATTCAGGGGAGAGGATCAGTTTGAGGGGAGGCTCTGGGAAGGGACATCACCAAAGGAAAAACAAAGGGGACTCACATGTTCCCTAGCACTCTTAAATGTATGGAGAGGACTTTTACTTCCGATAAAATTTAGGAAGGAATTAAATACAAACATAGAAAAGTACACAGAAAAGGTGAAATTCAAAGCAATTAACTTCAAAGATTAGAAAAAAAGGGTTGTGAAAGTAAATGCAAAATTATAATATTTTACATAATATAGCCATTATTAGTCATAGTTTGAAATAATCACGGTATGACCAAAATATTGGTTTAAGAAAAATCTGACTTAAAAACATCTGAGGGGAAGAGGAATATGTCCAATAGAGGCTCAGAGTGTGAAAGAATTCAGTCCTCATTGTCATGAGGAAACGAGCGGTTGACATCAAAAATTGAAAAAAATCAACAAACAGAAACACAGAGATGAATACTAGAAGCAAAAGCCAGATGGGCATTAAATAATTGCTTTTGGGTGTGAAAATGGAAGATGAAAGAGAACAGAAAGTGTGAATTTTGTAAAAAGCATAGTCAAACTATTTTGCATCTCACAAGCTATGCACACATAAGACTTTGATAATAATTATGATAAAATTCCACTTTTTAAAAATTAAGGCTTATTAGATTTGCAAGTTTCTTCTTGGCCAAATTCTATTTTTCTTTCTTTAACATGCTCTTCTCTGTTTTCTCTTCTTATATCCCCTTGTCTTCTCTAATCTTTTCTTTCCCTCCTCCTCCACTCACAAATTAAATATGATCACAATTGGGGAATTTGCAGAGGTAGGATTTATTTACTCTGAAAATGATGAGAGAGCCCTAGATGATCAGTTTTAGTATTAAGAGTCAAGTCTGTTAGCTGCATGTGAATATCAGGGAAGGGGCACTTGGCGAGCTCCAACAGAGGCATCAAAGGCGAACACGGCCTGTAGGGAACTTTAAATCCATGATAAAATCAATGAAGGCTTGTTTGTCTTTTCTTACATCCATGGTCCATCTACCAACTCTGAGCAAGCCCAGACTATGAGTGGTGATGACCCAGGATGTGGTTGGTTGTTGGTGTGGGATGCATCATTCCAGCCCCATGCTAAGGAATTGATTCTGGTATTAATGTTTTGGGGCAGTACTGAAGGGGAGAAAGGTAAGAAGAGAAATTCAGCAATGCCCACCAAACCACCAATGGATACTGTCAGTCAGATCAGGCAGCTAAACTAGGATAAGAAAGAGAAAAATATTTTGTGAAGTATGTAACCACTGAGCAGATTCTCAGGCAAACACATCTGACATGAGACACTCAGGAAAAATTGCTGTTAACAAAATCAGTCCATTCACTGGAATGAGATTTACCATGTGTTGATGATTAATTGTAGTTGAGGGCCAGAAACTGAGGATTTCAAGGAATACTAAATGCATTCCCTGCCCTTCCTGAGCCATCTCTTCTGTTCTTTGCTCTCAGCAACTCTTTCTTCGCCCTGGAGAACAAAGCACTTTTAGCTTAGAGTAGGAGGCAAACATATCCTCAAGACACAAGTGTGGAAGGAGAGAGGCCTCCAGAGGTTTGCAAGGACATATACATCTGATGTCACAAACAGTAGTGATTTTAGAGAGGGATCCTGACCCACCCTCTTCCGCACATGAAAGGAGTGTCTGTTTGACCTCAGGTCCCTCAGCTGGGACCCAAAGGCATATATTTCCACTTATAGATGTCAAACAGGAGAACACTCAGGCGTGATAGCTCAACCTCCTGGTTAAACTGAAAGCTGTAGACACAGAACCAGGAACTTTTCATGTCTGTAGTGGAAAGCAGGAAGTCGTTAGGGGAGGAAGAGGCAAAAAGGAATGAGAGTAAATTGGAAATAACAATGTCATCTGGCACCTGGGACCTTCTAAAAGATCTCAGGTTTACTGAATGCCTAAAGTATTCTATTGTGGTTTGACGACTCCTGCAAAGGGGCTGGAGTGGGAGGAAGCAATGCTGTGGTCATTAACTCTTGCTCCATAGAGATGAAATGGCCTTTTCTCTGGGGACCCTATGATGTTAAGGAAGAGAGGGTCCCAGATGGCTTAGTGGCTCAGATACCACAGTAAGCTCTTAGGACCCTATAGTCCTAATGCATCTTTGCACAGATAAGGAAACCAAATCCTTGGAGGCCTCAGAACTGAGTTGTCTGTTGAAGTATAATTTTCAAAAGGGCAAAGTCATGTCTTTTATGGGGATAGTAAAATGAACATTCACAGATTTCAAGTCATTATTTAATGGGGAAACAGTAACATTTAAAACTTACCCAAAGAGAAGCTAGGTATATATGAAGGCAATTTAATAGCTCTCTGTGTTACTAGCTATGCAAGAACAATTTTATGTTTAGCAGGATCATAAAGTATAAACTTGGGAAGCTATGAGTTCTACTAGGTAGAAATTATTTGCATTTCTATTGAAAAAATCTGTATGAGAACCTTTATTATGAAGTAGAATAGTGTCATAAATAGAAAGTTAAATTCATCACGAAAGAGCACCCAATAGTCTTTCTGATGTATTCAGCCCCCTCTGGGGGCCCAAGGAAGATTTTCCGGCATGAGGTCTCAAGGTTAAGGAACACATGTGTATCAGCAGCAACAGCAGGCAGGATGCAGCAGAGCAGAGCACAAGCGTGCTAGAGCCAGAGTTGACTGCATCTTTATTATATGATTCTAATACAGGTTGTTATCTCATATTTACATTCTTACACAGTACTGTAATCAGCACATGCATGTTTACCGCTGCTAAGTCATGGTTACATAAGTGTATCCTACTGTGCATGTGTGCTAGACCAGCTGGGTCACATCTTCAGGTATCTTCAGGTGCCCTTGAGCTTTGAAGCAGGGTGAGTGTTGTAGTTAGGGGTTGTACGGACATCAAGTAGAATCAGGACATGGATTTTTATAATATTATTTTTATAATGGTCACCGGGAGTTAACACAAGAAAATGCAGGAAATCTATTCATAACACCAAAGACATAGAATATTTAGTTAAGGGCCTAAGTCACACAGCAATGTCCTACACGAGTCCAGATAAAAACCCAGAGCTCATGACAATGCCTCCCACAAGTCCAACTGGAGGTCTAGAGCCCACAAGAAGGACTTACACTAGTCTTTTTTACAGATCCGTGCTGGGAAGGCCCAACGGTCAGCGGTGGAAGCCAGAAAGTCCATGCCAGCAAGGTGAAGGAGCTGTGTTGGTGGGATGATGAGGGTTTTACACTGGAGCTGAGAAGTCACCCTTACAACAAAGACCACGGTTGTCCTGAAAGGCATCACAGCCATCTCAGCGATATAGAGGCCCCGAACTCCGACGATGACAAGCATAGTCAGGCACCTGCGAGGAAGCCAGCTTGACAAGTTTATCCTGGAGACCAAGCAGCACATGTCTTTCCCTCTAGAGCCAGGAAGCAATGCTCAATGTGAGGACCAAAGCTTTTCCAGGAGAACCAATGGCTCAAGCAGCAACTCGTGGGAGAACCCACAATGCCTCAACACAATAGCGCATTAACACCTCAATGCCTTCACACCTCCCTTCTTTTTCACCTATTTATCTTGGCAACTTTCCTCAGCTGGAGCATCTTTGCTCAATGCCATGCTGATGTAATCCAGCTGGTGTTAAATTGACCACCAGGTCTTAATCCATAACAATGAGTGTTTTTTTTTTAAACTGGTCCATGGTCAAAATGGCAATTGCAAGTAGAAGTAAGATGCTACTTGAAGTCTCACTATGTTCAGTCCAATACTATGGTTCTTGCAGCCCAACCTAAGATGACCAAGAAAACCATCATCACTCATACAATGGATTGCCTGGAGAATGGTGGGTTCCACGCTCCTTACCTACCAACCCATCCACCTTCCTTGGCGTACAAGTTGTGCAAGTGGCAACCTATAAGCCCAACTGAAACCTGGTTTCTGTATCCCAAGCCCAAGTCTTGGTCTCTATACTTTCCTTCTTTTTTCCAGTGTATATGGGCTCTCTTGACCATTCTGCCTCCACTCAAACATAATACACTGGTCTCACACTCCGTTGTCTCCAGGTTGTATTTTGGTCCTTGCAACTCTCTGCATCCCTGCATTTTTACCACATATTCAAATGGAATGCTCATTGGAGGGGCTCACGGGAGGTCAGGTGACTTTAGGCTGAGGTATTTAACTCATTCAAGAACTGAATGTGTTTAGCTGGCATAGTGTGACTTTAAAAGATTTTTTTGGTCTTAAATTCAAGGATTTTGTAAAACTGTATTCCTCAAAGTGTAAATGGTAACTTTGACCTGTCACTGAACCTAGAAAGCTTCAGGTGGATTTCCAGAGCTGACATTGTATCCAAGGCTTTAGAAAAATTGCGATTTCCTGGCTTCTCATCACAGTGAATACTAATGTCCTTCTTTTGGGGAGGGCTTGAGGATGAGTAGGTTACTATTTGCCAGAGATTTGGGAGCCTGAGGCAAGTGACATTGAGCTGCTTACCAACTATGACAAGGCGGCTGCACAAACACCCTTTTGTTCTTTTGTTCTTGCCAGATCTGTGTGGGTGGCAGAGGCTGAAATAATTTCATTTCCAGAGTCCCTCAGCCTTGACAGCCTATCTCTGCAATTGCCTTTTTCAGGATCATTTTGTTTACTTGTCTGAAATGGAATTCAGGTAGATAAGGAATGGGGGAGCACAGGGGTAGCTATTAGCCATTCAGTCAAAAGACATCGCGGTGAGGCTGAGTCATCTACCCCCACACCCTGTTTCTGGGGTTTATGTATTGTTTGTCCTCTAAAAAAAGAGGAAGGGAAAATTCTGAGAAGTATAAGCTTCCTATGACGAGTAAAGTTGGAAGTATAGTCCAGGTATCTGGAGTGAGAATGGGACTTTTCAAAAGCAATGGGACAGGATTTCAGTTTTATTCTTTGTTCTGCAATATTTCAGGTGCAAAGGAATATGCTGGGTTTGTATTTTACAGATTAAGAAATGAAGGCCCAGAAAGGGAGGAAAACTTACCCAAGCTCACTCAGCTGTGTTGAAGTACATTTGTGTGTATTTGCTTGTGTGTGATTTATAGGGAATGATGAAGGGAAGACAGGTGAGAAAGCTCATATTTTGTTTACTGAGCTGGCCAAGGAGTAAGGAACTTTTTTCAAGCTTGAACTATAGCTATTGTATAAATCAGAAAGCAGAGGCTGTATGCTAGAGTTCATTGGTGAAGGAATTTCAGTGTTCATAAAGAAATTTTCTGGAAGCATGACCTCTTGGTGCATCCTTCACTAGGTGCCTGGTGCTATGAGATGGCTCTACAGCATGGACCTCTCTTTCATTCTTGGGCTACTAAAGAGAAAACAATCTAGTTCATGAAGAAATCCTAGAAGTGGTAGGAGAACATCTTAGTTACTTTTGTCTCATTGCTGAGACAAAATAAATGACACCCAAAATTAAGAAAGGAAACGTTTATTAAGCTCACAGTTTGTGGAGGTTCCAGTCCATAATCAGCTGGCTCCGAGGCAAGGTGACATGGCACAGGGGCAATACTTCAAGGCTGCAAAAGACAGCAAAATCAGCAAGAGCACAAGCAGAGAGGAAGCCTCCTCTCCTCCTGGATATTGTAAGCAGACCACTCAGAGTGAGTGTAGTACTCACACCACCTCAGTGCCCTCCTCTTACACAGGCTGAAAATGTTTACAAAGTAAGGACCTTGATTTCCTGCTGAGTCACTTAATTAAACTTCTGAACTTCTCAAGTTGACACAATGTATTAACCATTACAGAATTAAAGGAAAACAGGAATAACTATGACCTTGCTAGATAATTGTTTTCTTGTTTGTAAAAAATTTTTTTACTGGCATACATTTGTGATGCATAATAATTAAATTTGTTTTGGGAAATTGTACATATAAATATCACATGTTGATCACTTTTACTCCCTTTTCCCTCTCCCCTTCCCTTCTCCCTGCTTCCCTAGAATCCCTTCTTATCTCCAAAATATCTACCTTTTTGCTTCCTATTATATCTTTTATTTTGACCTTTAAATCATTTTCATTTTGTGCTCCTCATATTAGAGAAGCCATGTAACATTTAACTTTCTATATCTGATTTATTTCACTTAGCATTATGGTCTTCAAGATCCACTTATTTCCCTATAATAAGGCTCTGGTAGCTAATAGGAGTTATGAAATAGCTAAGCTGAAGATATATGGATAAGTTACATATTCACATGTTTTACAACTGGGGAAAATGAGCCTGAGAGATGAAGGGACCTGCCCCAGGCACTACAATTATAGAATACTGTGGCCTTTGAAATCCATCACTGTGAACTGAAGATGTAGTATCTTGGTAGAGTGCTTGCTTGGCACATAGGAGGCTTTGGTTCCAATCTCCAGCACTGCAAGAAAACAAACACAGAAATAAACAAACACAAATTTCACTACTGAATGGACAGAGGAGCTTAGGCAAGTTGGCTTATTGCCTTAAACATAATTCCATATTTATTTTGTCTCTTTAAAATCTAGGCAATTTGATGTTAACAAAAAAGCATTTCCAAAGAAGCAGCATTTCAAAGTCAATAACCACTCATATTTACACATACCTCTATGGTTTAAGAGACATTTTTATAGTCTGGTCATTTTAAAAATTACATTTTAACTAGAAGGATTATTGTTTCTACTTTTGAAAGATAGAAATGAATCCTTATCTAGGGTGGCATGGCAGATTTGGGTCTGGAATTCTCTTCTCTTTTAGCTATTCCTACATGTGATTTTTTTTTCCTATTCACATGGGATGAGAAAAATCAATTTAGAATGCTAGTTTGAAGCCTCCAGTGTTCCTAAAAATCAGTCCTTTTTGCAGTGGTAGAGCGTCTAGCTGTTCATTTCCCAGCTCCAAGGTTAGAATTTGGGTTCATAGCCCTCTTTTCATTTTAAATTGAAACAAAAGAATGGAGCCTCTTTAATAATGTGGTTCAGAATGTACTGCCCAATGTCTTCAAATATTAGTTTGTTTACAAAGCTTGGAAAAGTTGTCATGAAAATTAATGAGCTTTCTGGTGGAAGGCAATTGTCTTCTCCAAAAGGTTCCCTCGAGTCATTGTAGAGGAAATTACGTTGGATTTCTTTTCTTTCTTTCTTTCTTCTTGCATGTGGTATAATTCATTTTTAGCTACAAAGACATGTTTTGATTATACTTATGATACAAAAAAGTAGACTTGTCTGGCCCTTCATTTTGTGAAAAGAGTTTGGAGAAAATCCCAAAGAGTGAAAATCCAAAGACCTTGGCTCAATCAGTTGTTTCTCGTTACTTTGTTCTAAGTATCTCGATTCTCTTTAGCCCTTGAGCTTTACCCTTGTAGCCAGGATAAAGGGGATTTTCACTGAGCTGGGGGGCGTGGAGTACAACGTGCACCAGAAAAGAGATTCACAGGTGAATCTCAGAATCCAGGTAACAGAAGAGGCTGCCAATCACCAGTTTACCAGCCTGTAATTCTCATTGTGTTATGTTGCCTACCTTTCTTGTCCTTCCTCAAAACAATGAGAAAGAAAGATCAAGCATGGTAGCAGAGTTCACAATGTATTCAATTTTTTTGCAATGTATTCATTTATTCTTGTGTTTTTTCAAAATTAAAATATTTGAATTGGAATCGAATTAAAAGTTGAAACCTTTTTCCCATACTAATGTACTTTCACCTCACATTCAGTAGAATGGGGTGGTATAAACTAGGCTGAAAGCATTTTGGTGACTTAGCCTGGAGAACATTGAATCGGGGTTGTGTTTACTCTGGATTTAATGAGGTACTTCTATGTATGCCATATATCTGAATATGAATAAGATCACAATTTTATGCAGAAAGTTGGTAATGTTGTAATATTACATTTCAACTGAAAAGATGTATTTGAAGGGCTTAGCTGTCAAGTGAGAATGTACTAAATCTAGATATGGACACACAGAAGAACTTTATTTAAAGATTGTTTATTAAAGAATTAGAGGAATATTGAAATAAAATTAGTCAATACTTATCGTATCATTTGCAATGTTTCTGTATATTTAATAGTTTCCATAATAAAATGCAGGTACTGTATGAAAAAATTAATGGAACATGAAACAAAGATGAAAGATGAGGAAGGAAATCGATAGAAAATTTCTGGTATTGAGAAGCAAATTATTATAAAACCAAAAATAACCACAGGAAGTTATTCATTAACAAAAGAGAACTTTTTCCTAATGATAACAGATAAGCACTTGAGTTGCTTGATAGCCTAATTAATGAGTGAAGTGAATCATATTATTCATATTGGAAAATTCGAAAATATTCTATAAATTAAAAAATATTAACATCAGTAAAGGTAATATAAAACTGTACCACTACCACAGGAATATCAATGACTAAATTCTTAATAAAAAGTGCTGACATGCTTATTAAACTTGCTATTCATTTATCCAAAGATGAGCATTTACTATGTATCACTATACAAAGAAACTTGAAATGTCCCGAAGACCGATGGTTTATGTGTGAAAGAAACATTATAAAAGTTTTCTCTAACTGGAAAATAATCCTAAAACTTGAGCTTACAGGATCAGGCGGGAGGATTCACACTGGCCATCTGCTGACCGTTAGCTGCTCAACCTAAGAAGATGGAAGCCACAGGACAAGAGAAACGGAGGATTCCACTGTAGTCCAACCGTGAAGACCTGGAAACTCCTTGGGGAGTCATCAGTGTGGGTTTGTGTTGGAAGGCAGCAGAAGCTGGAGACCAGTGTCCAGAGGCAATGGGGAAGATTGAAGCTCTTCCAAAATGGGGATACTTTCTTCTTTCCCCCTTTGGGCTTTAATCTTATTGGTCAGTTCCTCCCACATTTCCCTCTGCTTGCTGCCTACAGATGCTATCCACAGATGCACTCACAGCTATGCTCCATAATCTAGTAGGCATTTCACAGTCCATTCAGTTTGCCACACCATGGTTAACAGTCACAGTAGAAAAATACTTGCCGGCTGCTACTGTGGTTATTAGCTCTGTGGCATTTTGTAATTCTATGTCATCAGAATATCTCCCAACCCACATATTCTTGTGAAAATGTGACCTTGTCCCACTACCATAGAGAGATACAGCCTGCTTATATCTTGAGCCCTGTCACTGCTGTGATCAATAAAATACAACATGAGTGAAGTTGTGCCATTCCAGGTATAAGCTTCCCTTCAATTGGATTATAATTTCTGCTTCCTGCCAATAGGATACCAGCTGCCAATTAAGAAATTCAACTATCAGAGACCACATTGCTGCAAGAATACTAGATGTTAAGAAAAGACCCTGGTAGATGAAATGCAACAAGGAGAGAGGGGGCCAGGTGCTGGGCAAAAGTAGACACGTGAACAAGGAGACTGTCTTGGAAGGGGATACTCCAGCTTTAGTGCCTCACCTGATTCCATGTGGTTCACACACAGATCACCCAAACAAGCCCTCCAGAATTCCTGACCTACAGAACTATGAGATGCAACAAGATGGTTTTTGTTCATTGATTTGGGTTTATTTTGCTAAGCAGAAGTTTGAATAATCTTATCCTCATAATAACCATATAAGATAAATTATTAATTCCAATTTATGTATAAAAGAGTAAAAGGTTAGAGATTTCAAATCACACATCCCATATTATACAACAAATAAACCACAGAGTTTATGTTTAAACCCGAGTATATCAGACTCTGAAGTTCAGGGACCTTGTGTGCCATCCAGCGTTGACACCATGTGCTGAAAGCTGATTAAGTTAGAAAACTGGTCAAGCCAGAGGCTCACAGGTCTCATAGTCAGCCATAGGGAAGTTGAGTTCAAAAAGGAAGTTTTGAGTTTGTAATTCTCATAGAAAAAAGCAGGAAAGCATTGATCAGAATTGGTTTGGTTAGAGCAACAAGGAATATTGGGTTCCTGTCATTTGGTTTAGCAACACTTTTTTTCAACCATAACGTGTATTTTTCTTATCTTCCAAGGAGCAATTGTTTTTTTTAAATATTTTATTTTAAAAACAGATATACTGAGATATAAAATACATGCCATAAAATTACTTACTGTTAATGTATGATTAACTGATTTCTAGTAAATCTGCACAGTTTTGCAGTTATCATCATGATCCATATTAGAACACTTCCACCACACTTAAAATGTCCCTTATGCCAGATCATGGTCAATCCTCAACCCCCAACTGGGTTCTAGAACTTGTCTGCTTCACCTTTTCTAAAATTGCTATGTAAATGGAAGTGTACAGTATGTAGTTCATTGTGTTTAGCTCCTTTCATTTAGCATTTATCAGTAGTTTCTTTCTTTCAAATATGGATGTCCATCTTTGTTTATATATTTGCCAGTTGGTGTGGACTGGTTCCAATTTTTGGCTGTACTAACAGTTGTGTTCTAATGTGTTTGGTTGCATAAGACAACTAACAGGATCAAAAATAAAAGTGCTTACAAATTTAGGATTTACTTATGGAAAAGAATCTAAGACTATAGAAACATTATTAGAATAAAGACCTAAGGTATTTCTTACCATGGACCTCAGAATCAAGGTTACCCACAGACTGAAGAGCCAGGAAATTGTAAAGTAATTATTTTGGTTACAGAGAATCTCTTTTACCCAAAGACATAATTCCTCTCGACAGTCAGATCAGAGCTTCGATTTTTTGGACCTAACTCTCATTTTAGGTAACTAATACTTGTGAATGAATTAGTTTAGAAAATTAGTTTTCCCTGACAATTTAATTTAAAATCTGAAATTTTAAAAGGATATCCTTAAATCTTCAGAATTGTGGAAGGCATTAAAAATAGAATAGTTTATGATTATTATAGTTGATCTTGAGGAATAAGTTACTTCAATGTCCTTAAATAAAATATGCTAAGAAGTCCACCTTTGCTTGGTTAAATAAATGACCCTATTCCAGAGTAAAGTGAGGGCAGACAAATCTGTAAAATATTTAAAGAAGTATTTTTTTTAAATGAATTGGATTTTCTTAGCGTAATCTAATGGTTTGCCTTCTGTTCTTGAGTAATTATGTCTGTCTCATTTAGTGGTCTCTATTCTGAAAGGCAAAAAAAGGCCTCATTTTTCTCTATATCTCCTCTATGATTACTACTGTGCTTGGAACCTGATGAGAATTCAGAAATTATTCTTATTGACTTGAACTTATGTTGCCACTTGCTTTCACATAAACCAAATCGTTGTCTCTTTGCAATGTTTTTGCAGAGCTGCAGAGGAGAAAACCAAGCCTACGAGAGGGTGAGTAATTTGCCCAAGTGGTACCTTTAGTAAAAGGCAAGGTCATCACTCAATCCTGGGTTGTGTTTTGTTGAATCCTCTATTGACAGAGAAATGGAATAAAAAAGTATCAAACACAAGGCATTTCTTGTC